GTCCTTCTGTTCCTCATTACTCTTTAACAGCAAAAACTGCTGAAACTAGAATGCCGGATAGGGAGATTGCGATTTTAATAGCGCTGTCATTATCTCCTCCCATAAGGTGGCATACGATAGAAGGCTTGTAGGAAAAAAAATGGCGCCGAACAAAGAAGCGTTTCAATAATTGAAAGCCAAGCAACATCTTGTGGTTCTTTCTGCTTAGATTCATCAAAGACCACTTTCAGAAATGAGAGGAACAAAACGGCCGGTTTTTTCATTCGAGACGACGGGTCCGGAAAGCGCCGCGGGAATTTTTATTTTTTATTTTTTTGCTGGTGATCAAATTAGAGCCAATGGGTCACGTGACTGCTGCGAGAGAGCACCAGCGGCCATGTGACTGAACCAATCATCCCGGGGTTCGTACATGCAATCTGATTGGGATAACAGCCTCCCGCCCGCAGCCAGCGCAGCTATGATATCATGACGGTCCAAAAAACTTCCAGCTCTGGCAAAGTCTCCGCTTCCAGGAGCTCCGACTTCTGCCTGGCAACAGATTAATGGCGCGCAACTCCAGAATATGAAAGGTTAGAAGAGGGACAAAGAGAGAGAGGGAAGGCACAGGAAGAGGAGAGGAGTTTGGGGGATTGAGCAAAGAGAAACCTTGAAGGGACACTGGAGGCAAGAACTCGGCGACACAGCGTCGCATCCCGGCGTCACGTCTTTGATGTTATTTTGTCTTTGCCAATAGCTCCCTAATCCCATGTCTTTGGCACACTTTAATCTTGTTGTTATTCTCTCTGCCAGCCTTTTAGTCAGAGATAATCAGTGTCAGCTAACTTTAATTATTGTGATTGAATCCGTGATAAATGTTGTTGCTTCAATGTCAGTTGTCGTCTATTCATACAGGAGGGGAAATTTGCACTTGTGCTAGCTCGAGAATTAAAAAAAGAAGAACAAGAGAGAGAGAGAGCTTGATAGTAAATTACCAGTAGGATTGCTCATGTTCCACCTCACAGGCTTTAATTAACTAGTCTCAGGTAGTCTAATCTTATTATCGAAGACTGCTTTTCCCACACTCTCACTGACGCTTATATGATATCGAGACGCGACGGGAGGATATCCTCGTGAAAGAGCTGCCAAAACCCGGGCAAGGTTTTTTCAGGTTGTTCTCTAACGCTCGGCCACCAAAAGCGTTTACGCATTCTTGTCACGTGGCGGGGGGGAAACAAAAGGCGGTATAGTAAGTGCCATTTTCAGGGATTTTCAACACGGATCCAAACACAGCAGCCGCCGCTAGATGCCAAGTAAAATACAGAGCTGCACAACTCAGCGGCGGCAACATCTCGGTGTTTGTCCCACAGAGAGCCCCAGCCCCATCAAACCCCATTATCTCCAAGGCTACCACTTACTTCCAACTGGAGTAGAGATAGCTGCTTATCTCCTGGTTAATAATAAAGAAGACACATAACAGATAAAAAAAAAAAAAAGAAGAAGAAGCCATCCTATCGTGATGGAAAGAGAGAGGTGGAAGTGGTGGGGAGGAGGTAAAAAAAAAAAAAAAAGGAGCCGACAGGGAGCGGAGAGATTTCCAGGGACAGTTTCATTCTGTGGAAAGGGCAAGCAGAAGGAGACCTCCCGCTGTAATGCGGCAGCCAAGCCGAAATGAAAGCCAGCCGCTCTCTTCTCCGGGGCTAAACAGCGGCCTTAATAAAAAACACAATCAGACCCCCAACCTTAAACTTTAATGCACATTCTTCCCATATTTCTCTTTGCACCAGGAGTAAAAAAAAATGGTGGAAGCTCCTGGTGTGATCCCAGCTCCCAGGCTAGCATGTAAAAAAAAAAAAAAAAGGGGGGTTGTTACAGTCATAATGAAGCCCCATCGAATATCAAGCCACGCCATCAAGTCGCTGCAGCTCTCCATCGCGTTAATGAAATTGTTCCCCCTAACTTTTTTAATTAACTTGCATACTCATGGTGTGGAGTCAAGTTGTGGACACAGACAAAGACTACAGTGTTCTCTCCCAGGTGATGTGAATTTCAAAGAGGGAAAAGCTGCTCTGAATTAAGCCGAGTTTCTTTATTAGGCGAGAAACTTCAGAGGAGACAGATGTGCTGAGGACGGCCTCGTGTCACTTTTTTTTTTTTTTCTTCCTTCTCCTGCACCAGTCAGCTTTCATTCAACACTTTGATATATATATATATAAGCACAGGAGGAGTGGGATGATAAATTTATTGTGAATCCACATTGTTGTTTTTTTTTTTTTTACAGCATGCATTGTTTTCAGAAGTTTTTAAATCTCCCATTTTGTGTGTGTAAAAAAAAAAAAAAAAAAAAAAAGCTTCAAGGATGTCTCCTTGATAGTAATCAGAGAGAGCACAAATCATAATCATTCGTCGGCGCTGAGTGAAAGTGGTACAACGGTGCTTGATGAAGGGGACATTCATCACAAGGGAAAGGAAGATAATAGGAGATGCCACGAAAAGAAGAAGAAGAAAAAAATAAAAAGGTTGTTGTTTTTTTTTTTTTGTTGGTTTCTTTTTTTTCAAACACATTTCCCTTTATTGGCATGGTGAGGCTGATGAGAATTGCACATAAAAAATAAAATTCACAAGAAAGTCGTACAATAGGTAGAACCACAAAGGCATTGGTAAGGACTTGGCAGAAGGCAACGTGGATAGGACACAAACAGGTAACAACCCATAGCGACCCCCCCCTCCCATCCCATCCCATCCCCAACACACACACACACACACACACACACCTCCAGAAACACACACACACCTGCCTAAAATCACACACAAACACACATACATTTGCCGATAAACATATTGTCCTTCCAAAAGAAACATGATTACCCAACAAACGTTTAAGCAGTGGCAAAGTCCTCAGTGGGTCACGTTATTAAAAAGTCCGCCACAGTTTGAAATCTGAACCAGAAGGTGTTATAATATATTGCTACTCTAGGCAATTTACAAAGCATTTTTTCTTTTTTTTTTCCTTTTTTATTATTATTACAATGATTAAAGCCACATCTATCAAATGGGACACGACACCATTACCCAAACGCTACACAGACAGCAAAAAAAAAAACAAAAAAAAAAGTCTTAAAACACAGGTAAAGGGTTTTTTTTCTTACTTTTCTTCTCTTTTTTTTTCCCTAAATCCTTTCCCTCGACCAATTTTTGCCTCTTTGCATCATAAAAAATTAGCCGTTTTCTTGTCTCCGCAGTCAAACTCCATGAAAGGGAGCCTGTGATCAGAAAAAAAGCTTTTTATACAAAAGATTTTTTTTTCCCCCTCTTCCTGTGATGGAAGCTTGGTTCTCTCATTACTTGGCTCGCGCTTGGAAACGGGATATTAATTGAACCAGAAACCGCAAGGTTACCTTTTATGTCATGTCGACGGCGCTGTGATATCTGGACTGTGAGTCGGGTTTAGGGGGGAGGAGGAAGGTGGTGGTGGCGGCGGCGGTGGTGCTGATGGAAAGTGGCGCGGCATGCGATACATTGTTGAGTAGTTTTTTTTATTTATTTATTTTTTTCTCTCTAGGCTTATAGAATGTCATTTAAAATCTGCCAGTTAAGACAGCTGAGAGGCAGATATCCAAAGTGGTACCGACTGTCATCCTGGAAATAGCCATGCACTACACAACAAACAGGTTCAACTCGACACGTTTTTTTTTTTCTTCTTTTTTTTTTTCTTAAACACACACACAAGGGTGGAAGTTAAAGAGTCGGTCACGTTTGCACAGATGTCACAAGGTAATGCGTGCATTACAATCACAGAGACTCAGTTACATCTTTAAAGGGAAAGAGGGAAGTAAGGGGGGGACGTTGAGTTTTTTTGTTGTTGTTTTTTCTTTTTTTTTTACCGCAAATATGTGAAATGAAAATGCCGAGACACTGGAATGGAGTCATCCTAACTACCAGCGACTGGGTAATGGGTCAAGTCCAAAAATCACACAACAGTAGGAGCTAAAATACAACTCTGAAAAATAATTTATTGCTTTTTATATAGTTTTTTTTTTCTCCTTTCATTTATATTATTATCATTATTATTATTAATCATCTTGTAATTATTGTGAATAATATTAGTAGTATATATATATTTTTGTACATCAAATACAAGATCTTTAAAAAATTCAGGAAGGAAAAAAAAAAAGGAAATTGTAAACTTTTGTTTGGCATTCACATAATAATCAAGCGTGAGTTGGAGCGATGACAACACGTGTTTTACAGTGGTACAAAGAAATTTCCTGCAAAATCATTTTATTGCTTCATGTTCTGCGGTTCCTATGAAGAAAAAATAAAAAAAAATAAAAATAAAAAAAGAAGTTAAGGTTGCAGATCTGACTGATCGTGGAGACAAACGACTAGAATGGCGGATGAGGGGCTGGACTCATTAGCTGAATGTTTCTGATTGTTTCGGAAAGGCATAGAAGGTAATATTATCCCCACCAAAGCATTTATTGTACACCCTGTCCAGTGATTGCAAGTTAAATAACACAAATCGAAGGACACAACATAAATAGCAAATAAATTTCATGAGGTACGCCATGTGAAATGGAGTCCATAAATATTTTTTTTTTCTGATTCAAATATTAAAATAAATAGATAAATACGCGTTTATACTGATTGAAAAGATTCGAATGCAATTTTTTCCTCTCTCACTGAATCAACCAAGAACCATACAAAGCAATGAAATCAAACTGAGTTATATATATATATATATATATATATATATACTATATATATAATGATTGCTTCAGAAATAATTAATAAAAAAATGGGGTAACTTCTTCTTTTTTGTTCTTTTTTTTTTACAATCATGAAAAACACGTTAAAAATGCATTTTACACTGTGTTGTATAAGCAAAAAACACTGATTGAGAAACTTTATAAACAGAGAAAACTATACATGGCTGACTGTTTTTGTTTTTTTTCCCCCAACAAAATAACTTAAAAAAGGACATTTGTTCACATGCTCCCTCAAAATGAGCAATCGGACACATCTTTTTTTTTTTTTTTTTTCTCTTTTTCTTTTTACAATCATAGCATGTCTTCTAAACATCATGTAGGTGTACAATATGTTTACAGTATTGTAATTACTACAGATCGACATTCTGAATTAAGAAATTTTTCTCCTCATTTTTAAAAAAGGCTGCGTTTTACAGTGCATAGCTGTAACAAATAAAGAACTTCGATATGTACATAAAATAAAAATATTCCTTTTTATAGTATTTGTAAATACACAGCTACATTTCTCCTTAAAATGTAGACAACAATGTCACCTTGAGAATTTTTACCTCCGAGATACAACTCCCTATATTTGTAATGTAACACCAGATCCAAACACCAGATTCCAAAGAAAGAAGAAAGAAAATCAACAGCAAAAGAAAAGAAAAAAACAACAAATCTGGCTGAACAAGCTGCATGTTTTCACCCCCAAAGAATTGTGGGTATTGTAGTGCTTGGAGAAAAACAACAACAGAAAAAAAAAATCACGAGTTTTTCTTCTTCTTCTTCTTCTTCTTCTTTCACTGATGTTGTACAGCAGTAGAGTGCACCCAACACGTGCACCAGATTCTGAGGGTTCACTGGCTTTCCCAGAATGCAATGTCTCTTCCCAGCTCTTCAGCAGCTATGTTCATGTAAACTTTATTTTTGATATATTCATTTATATTGATATAGGTCTATAGACTTATTCTTATATACTCTATGACAGAGTGTAAAACTTCTGGTAGTCTCGTCGTCAAAAGAAGCGAGAAACAACAGTGAGGTATCAGAAGTCCCTCTTTGTGACAGACAGCAGGTGCCACTGAACTGGTTACCTTCTCAGGCTGCGCTGGGCCTCCCTCAGCAAGCTGTCAAAATCCATGGAGTCATACTTGCTTTTTGTGGAGGCTGGATCAAAGTCGTCCGAATGGGAGTCTGAAAGGGGCCAAGCAGGATTGTGGTTAGTGTTGGGATTGCTTTGAAAACGCACATAAAACAACAAGCTTCACCTTCTCGGAGGACTTTGTGGTCAGAGAACATTCCCCCCACCGGTCGGCCACGTGTGGCTCCGCCGCCGTTAACCTGACAGCTGCTCAGATCTGCATCTTTCTTGTGTTCGCTGCCGACAGTTTGCTGCCGAATTCCCACAAAATCTCCACAAAGTTAATGCACAACCCCGAGTCAGGCTTAAAGGTAAAATATTACAAGGGGGTTATGCGCCAGACTATTTCATGGTCTGCTGCAGTGAATAGTTGAAAAATGTCCCAACCCCTAACTGCATGTTTCCGTAGCAACCTACAATAGAGTTCAGACAGCCGGGGTAGAATAAAGAGGTTTTTTTTTCTCACGTTGGAGGCACCAGATATGAAACTGCATCCTTGTGTCCGTCCATCTCTCATATGTCCTGTTTTTCTTGATCAGCCCGATAATACATAAAGAGTGTCTTATCTGTGCCAACAGACAGCTTCACAAATTGGGCCCTCAAAGGGCCCAGCAGCAGCACACTCCAAGAGCTTTGAGAAATGGGAATGACCATGGCAGCCGGGAGACGCCAGTTGTGATCTAATGCAATGGCCGAGGGCTGGATTGTGTCACGCTGCACACCTTGAGGGATGAAAAATACCCAGGTGCTCTACTTAAAACTAATGGACAGTGTCTCTGGAAAAAAAGGGGGGGAAAAAAAAAAAAGAGCAGAAGATGGGAAGAGGTTTGGATACGACACTATTAAAAGATGCTCCCTTCCTCTCAATCTCTTTATCCTGCGCTATCAATACGGGGGCGACCGAAATAGCCGGTTCCTGACAAAGAGACGCTGGAATGAAGGCCTTTCCATTTCACTGGACTGATTAGTCAATCTCAGTATAATGTCTATCCTCAAGGCTTTCGGATTAGCAACTGTTTCTCTGTGTGTCATGTACTCTTTTAAAAAGGTTAATGGCTGCAAGCATGTGCTTTGAAAATGTATAGTAACTGCTCCGTTTCTTCAGAGGAGTGCTCTTTTTTCTCTCGAGTGGCCCCTTGACCCTCTTGTAGCGATGCATTCTACATTTCTGACCCCACGCACCGCCGCTAACATGAGTCAATACGTGTCGTCGTTAGAATGGAAGACGGAGATACGTGGCATAATGGTGAATATCTCAAAAACCACCGCCTCTATCATTGTGCAGCTCACACAAGAGGAGAAGTTGCATTTTTCTTTCTTCGCATGTCCAAACTGGTGCATCACGCGAGGAAAAAAAAAAAAAGCCTTGATTTCACTGATAGCGTGCATTATTTATCAAATGCGTCATTCAACCTTCTGCTGTGTCCATTCCAGTTTGGATTTCTGTTAGAGATTTATGTATCTGAGCAGTGTAGGAGCTAAGCATGTTTCCTCAGAGGACTGGCTCGTGATAGATGAATTCAACCTGCACACTCGCAGTCAGAAGTTGGACCAGCGGCGTGTGCAGGTAGCCGCCCCTCCCTCGGTGCGAATGACCGGCCCCGGCGCGCCCACGCCGAGGCTCGACATCGTTTCGGTGCCACAACAGCTGGCAACAGATGGACCCGAACTCTGGAGGGAGGAGGGGGTTTCTGGGACTTAACCTTGCTCCCACCTTCCCTTCCTCTTGTCTCGTCTCCCCGTCTTTCTCCCGCTGCGTCTTTCTCCTCGTAATTTCATCTCTGCTCCTGCCGCCGCTTCTCATTGGTGCACTTAAAGTGATTCCCACACACGGGCGCATGAAAACGCACCCATGCTTTTAAGCGCTATCTCCTCTCACCGCTAATGCCTTGCTTCTCATATCAACAAAGTAGAAACAAGCATCCCATGTCTACATGAGTAATGGAGCCTGCCTCGTTTTCTTTAAGATACGGCGGCGTGGAGGAAATGGCGCTCTATTCTCGGCGTGTTCACACAGCGACCTCTGAACTCTCTTTGCCCTCTTGAGCCACAAATGCCTGGTGGACACATTGGGGGCTGGAGGAGTTGTTATCAGCGCAGAGATGGGGATGTTTTGATCTGGAAGCATCACTCAAGGCTTTTTTTTTTTCTCTATCCACCCCCCCTTCCACTCCCCTCTTTTCACTGACAACTCTTCCAGCCACGCAAATATACCGCATGACTGCAGGGGGCTGATGGAGAGAACAACAAAGCTGCACTTACCCAAGTCTGTGTAATGTGATTTGCAGAACTGCTTTTGTCCGCCAAAGCACAGCTCGAACTGAGGCTCGTTTGACCTGCGTAAGGTGTGTCCGTTCTCAAGGGCGGCGAAGGCGTCACAAGTGTAGCGGTACGTGATGAAGCCAAAATTGTCCCTGGTCAAGAATAGAAAGCGATACGTCAGAGTGCTGCTGTGGGGGGCCTTGTCTTGGATGACGATCATGCTATTTATATGCAAAAGAGAATCAATAAAGGTGTATCTTTGGGGGCTCTGTAGGCCTACAAGTAGATGAATCAGGAGACACTCGGAGACTGCAAAAGCTCCGTCTTTGTCACTTGCTTTAAGTTCAGCAGATTTTTTTATTTTTTTTCTATCCAGAGATTACAAATAAGCGCCTCCGAGCATATAGATGCACATGCAGAGAAAAGCCCGGGGGCCTTACCCGTCGTCCCTCAAGTTCACTGCACATTCTTCTATTTCGCCAAAGACTTCAAAGCGGCGCTTCAACTCTGTCCGGGTGCAGTCGGACCTCAGTCGCCCCACGTACACCACCCGTCTCTCCTCCTGCTCGTTAAAGAGGACAGACAGAGCATGGGGGGGAAGAGATTAAAAGGGGGGGTCTGTTTTTTCCTTTTCCACTCTCTTTCTTCACCAAGCCCTAATGAATTGGTCTTGATCACTCCTGTGGATACTGCCGCTGACTTTGGGCCCCCTGTTTTTGTCCCTCTTCCCCGTCTGTTGTGTTCCTCTGTGATTGGTTCAGCTCGCTTCCTCTTATCTGATTGAGTTGCAGTTTGGAAAGCGCCTTCAATCTGCCTTGGCACTACAATTCCTCTTTCTCTCCGCAACTCATCAACCAGAGGCAGAGTGATTTTTATCAAATGATGCCATGTCTTAAGTTTGGGGCTGCTTCTTCTTTTGTGAAGTCTAAAAATAAAGCTGTGGGGGTGACTCAGCTATATATCAGCAAAAGCCTGTTTCTTTCGTTTCCAGCTCGGGAGACGCGACACGCAGCAACAGCTAGGCTGCTAAACGGAGGGCTGCTAATATAAGGGTATTCATATCCAAGAGAAAGGGAGCATTAAGAGCAGGAGCAGCGAGCCACGGGGCAAAAAAACACGGATTTCCTTGAACCTCAGAGGACGCCGGGGTCATAGTGGAATAATTTAGGAACAAACCGCGGCAGGCTGCAATTATAGCTTTTGAGTAGTTTAATTGCATCTGCTAATCATATAATACAGTCGAGGCCTGGGGCTATAGTGTATCACTGGCGTTATTTATTTATTCATTCATTTACTTGCCATTACTGGGGCAAGTCCATCGAGGCCAGGCGAGTTCTGAGTGCTGTCTCGAGGGCGGCGCTAACGTATATGTAAATCAGTTGCCCACTGCTAATCTCAAAGTTCACCTTTGCCCGCTTGACTCACAGCTGAGAAAAATACAAATTAACTACAGATTACTGTTTTTATGCTCTATCTTTAATGCTTGTTTGGAAAAAATGAGGGAAAAAAAAGAAGCTGAATGAGGGGTTTAGTTGCTGACAGCTGATAAATAGGTGGTCTTTTCTTGACGGCACCCTGCGGACTGCCGGTGTGACGGCGAGAATGAGCAGACACAAGGACGACGCCTTCACACGCCTGGTCTTCCAAACCTCCGTCTGACAGCTTGAGGTTTTTACCGCTCGTAATTGTTCGTCTCTCCATCTCCGAAAACGTACGCACGCCAAGCCGCGTTTGCATTACTGCATCATTTAATGTGTGCTTTATCAACGGGTGGCGGCGGTGGCGTCACCCCTGCTGGAAACCTGAGTAATTTCACACTGAGACAAGGAGAGCGGAGATAAGGGAGAAACGTGATATTCACCGAAATCAGGCTTGAATTTTGAAATAGATACAGAAAAAAAAAAAAAAAGGGAAAAGATCTCACCGGGATCAGTGGCCGTTTTTATCCTCTCCACCCTTCTTGCTCTCCGAGTTTCTGTTTTCCACTATTTTAACATTTTACCCCCGTGGTGTGATTAATAAGAGTCGACAGTGTTTCCAGACGACGGAGACGTTAAAAATACACAACCCAGAGATAAAGAGGAAGGGCCTGTCGCCTGAATCATTCAGGAACTCACTTTGTATGTATTCTTTCAGTGGAGACACACTGTGGCACATGGCGCTGGGCTGGAGGCTGCCTCATCCCAAGTAATCTATGTGTGTCTGTGGGAGATTTCTGTGTGTGCCACAGCAGTGATTACATGTGGTCTTTTATCAGCGCTTGTGCAGGAAGACGCAAAGTCATGCATTGAAATAAAAAAAACAAAACAGGGGCGATGTAGGAGGATAGAGTTGACTCACTATTGCTTTTTGCTTTTGCCTCTCTCTCTGCTCGGCCCGTTCGAACTCCCGCTTCTCGTAGTCCCGTCGGTACTCCTCCCTCTTCAGCCTCTCGTGCTGGTACTCCTCATAGCTGTCGTACCTGCGCAGGAGAAAGAAGGTGGCATCAGTCCCTCTTCTTTAGGAGCTCTCTGTTTTCTCACCGGTGACGGCTCGCAAAGGAAAGGGACGTGTTAATAAAGACGTCTTTTTCGCCACCGCTATGATTATGAAACCCGCGAGCTAGGCCCGCGGGAGTGCCGGCGAGCAGCGCGGTCGGGGAGCCAGGCAGCTGCAACTGTCAGCACAACTTCACATGTCATTACTTTCTGCTTAGTTAGGGCTTCATCAAGAAGGAAAGTGCAACTTTCTCTCCCCTCTCCCCCCCACCACCGCCACCGCCGCCACCACCCAGGACCAGCTCAAGATGTGTCCGTTAAGTTTCCGACTGATGAGCGACTCTCTGGCTTGTCGGGTGTCATTAGGCACGTGGTTGCCAGATCAGCTCGGAGTGCTGGGATGGTGTCAGTCTCCCTCTCTGTGTGTGTTTCTGCACCGTGCCAGTGCTTGTCTGCATAGGAAATGGTCCCCTCTGCAGTGGCTCATGGAAAACTACAGAGGCACTAAGTTGAGTAAGTGTCATTATACAGCGGGGAGCGTCGACTCACGAGTGCGGCGCTTCAGAATGATTCCTGTTGTCACTAGTCCAATAAAACATGATCAATTAAACATATTTGCCCTGAGTGTTTGTCTCGAGGCGTCCCGTGCGACAACGAAGGGAATCACACAGAAATCAAACAGTTTCTGAGAGCTGACAAGAAAAAAAAAAACAACTTTCCACCGCATTGCTAAAACGCACTCTCCCGTGCGCACAGTCATTAATTCTTTACCAATTTTTTTTCTCAGGCGGCTGCTAAAAATAAACATTTGTCCTAACCTGAAGCGTGCGACTAAACAAAGGTTAATAACACATATCAAATTGGAGATTAAATACTTCAATTTGAAACAATCACCTTGGCCTGCGGCTGAGAGGAGATCGAGACTGAGGGTGGGGGCTCTTGTGAGTCCTGGAACGAAAAGCGTTTAAATCGGTGTTGTGACGAGACCTGAGGGAGAAAACAGAGAGATGTTAAATATCAAACACGCAGGAGTTCTGTTCGTCTTACAGTCTAACATTTTCTATACGCTGTTGACTGCTGCCTGCTTGGTGGTGAATTTGTTTTTGGCTTCGAGAGCCTAATTAAACTTTTTTTTGGATATACACAAGACCCATAAAAATGTTAGAAAGTGGGTTAATTAAAAGCATTGCATATTCTCCCCCAGCCCCGTCTTGATCTCACCCCCTGGATGATTTGCTGCAGAACTTTCCTGACACACCTGAGCCAGCATGCACCGACTATCTATGTTGTATGAAGAGGTGGTCAATAGTGAGGGCCCTGGTGGCCTGACTGTGGAGCTTGTTCCCCTACACTCGGTGAGCTTATGATGCTTAATTATTGAAGTGTTGCTGAAGAAGACCTGAATAATGGAGGGAGAGAAGTTTGGGAAGCTCAGCGAAGCAAAGGAATGCCGGTTTGCAAAGATCGAGGATCTTATGCTGTAAATCTTTGAACAGAAAGGAGAATTATTTTGCTAAAATTATGTTTATCTTTTCTCGCATGAAAACATTACAAGCTGTCACTTCTGAAGCCGAATCCCCATCGAGCACTTTCAGGAAGCCTGTCAGCGTCGGATTCTGATCGAATACCTCGAGACTATTACTGGATAATTTGTGAGCAAGTTGGTGTGGAGTGAAGAACCAATGCCTGAACAGAATAAAGTGATTCTATTGGCTCCGTGGAGTAAACTGACCTTTCAGTAATCATGCAAACAAACTGAGTCACTGCAGTGGAGTCCTGCACTGTGAGGCGCTCAATGAACTACAACTGACAAACTCAATTTATTCACATCCTTCTCGGTAACTACAGTTTGCCTCTGTTCTTCTACCAAAAAAAAAAAAAGAAAAGAAAAAAACCAACAGAAACCCCCTTAGCTCTGATCAAAGGGAAGCATGGGAAATGTAGTTCTCACGCAGAGCTATGATGATAGGAGTCTTTTTTGAGAGGGGTTTTGAGACTACATTCCCACAGACTGGATCTAGCTTTCATCTCTGGGGATGTAAAAGAGGAGGGTTTGCCACTCAGTAAAAACAACAGCTGCCGCTTAAAACAATAGCCCCGGCATCAAACAAAAAACGGGAGCATGCAAGGGAGTGAGTGAGGAGGGGGTGAGTGTTAGAAAGACACTCAAATAAAACTCCCTGCCTAGAGATGAAAACTCATACTGTTCAAAAGTCCAGTGCCTCTGGCACCTTTCATGTTCTGGGTTTCTTTTTTTTTTTTCCTTTTTTGTCCATTGTGTGTTGGTTTAGGGAGATTTCACCCAATCTTTTTTTTTTTTTTTTTAAACCCATTTTCAGTTCATATCAAAGCGCCACCAAGTTTAATGGAGTAATTTAAGTAGTTTAACAACAGCAGACATTGTGGTGGGAATCTATTCCAGCATAGAATAGCAGGAGGTCGAGCTCATCCTCAGGATAATTGCCAGCATTAGTTTGTACCGTTCTATTCTAGCCTTATTTTAGCTTATTTATTTTATTCTAGTGTTGGATCATACTTATATCTTATTGCTTTTCTTCTTTTTAGGTGCTGCATTTCTTATGTTATGACTTTTTTCTTTTTTTTTTGTCCGCAATATCTGGCACAAGAATTTCCTTCGGGGTTAATAAAGTTTTATCTTATGTAAAAAGTGAGGCTCTGGTGTCTCAGGACTAGTTCCTGAGCTGTTTGTGTTTGTGGTCACTGTGAAGACTTCAGACTTCAAAGTTGGCCGTCACGGCAGGAGGGGAGATACGGTTTCAAAATGAGGATTTTAGGAAAACTGCATCATTCATCTCATAGTTTTTCCTCTTTTTCAGTTTATATCTAAGTGTCTCCTGCTTTAATAACAATTTGTGGAGGCGAACAACTGCAGACAGTGTTCTGAGTGACCACACAGGAAGGAAGGGTTCAAAGATGGCTGTCACAGGAGGAGGGGGTTTCTGAGAGTTACAGACACACCCTGTTCGATGCTACATGACCGTCTGACATGCAGCTCGGACAGATCATAAATCCTTCTTAACAGTCTCCAGGGTCTATCCTGTCTCACACCAGCTCTGACGACTGATCAGGCCTGTTTTACACTCCTAAGCTAGACCCCCTGCCAGCTCCAAGCCCTGTTTAAACTGCATGCCTGGGGAGCAGCCAAGGTTCAGCCAAAAAGAAGTGGGAGAGAGAGAGCAGACTTACCAGGAGGAGGGGCGTCTGTCAGGTGAGCTGGAGAGAGAGCGCCTGCGGTATCGCGAGGAGGAGCTGCGGGAGCCGGAGTGGGAACGAGAACGGGAGCGGGACCCGCCGCTGGTCCAGCAGAACGGCCTGCTGGGTGACAGGAGGAGGGAGGACGGAGGGGAGACGGAGCCTCGTGAAGGGGAGCAGCTGGATGGTGGGGAACAGGAGGGAGAGCAGGGGGCGCAGTCAAAGAGTAGGTCCAGAGGGGTGCCCTCCCACGGAAAGAGGAAGCGACTCTCGCGGCCCTCGCCCAGCTCCAGCTCGTCGTGGAAGGGCAGAAACCCCTGGTGCAGGTAGCTGGAGCCGGGCAGCCTCTGGGAGTAGTAGTCATCCTCTCCCCCTTGGAGGGACTGAGGAGCTGAAACCTTGTTCGTTTTGCTGCTCGGTTCTCTCTCCTGGCCACCCTGGCTATAGAGGGCGTGTAAGGGGTGGCCAAAGTGCTTGTTGAGTTCTGCTCTGATATCCTGGTCGCACAGGAGCTTCCGGCTGGTGGCAGAAGGATGTTGTTGGTCCCTGTCGGTAGTCGCCTCTTGTGAAGGGATCTGAGTGGTTCGTGTTAGGGTCTGCTCCCCTAACCCCTTGTCCCGGCTCGCTTCTCCGTCCACAGAGACAAGATTCTGCTGCTTAGCAAGAGGACCGGGTGAAGCTGATGATGGAGAACAAGAAGACGATGAAGAGGATGGTGGCATGGCTGAGTCCTTACATTCGACATGCCTGATCTCCACTTTGCCTGCAGTAGGCATGGGAGCAGCAGTGGCACCTGAGGTGAATGTCATTTCCACAGCTGTAGTCATGGTAACAGTGGCTGTGCCCCCATCCTTCTTAGTGCTAGCGGATGCCTGGCAATAGTCATGGTCACTGTAGCCGCGGGGCGTGGCCCGCTTATTGTTGCCAGTGCTGCGATGCTCCTCAAGGCCGCCCCCCACTGCGTGTTGAGTGACGGAGTAAGGGAGGGTGGTGGACGCTTTGCTCAGCTGGGCATAAAGCTCAGTCTGTTCGGGACCCTTCCTGGTGGGGCCCCCGCCTGAGGCACCTGGGGCCGGGGCCAGAGCGCCGGGGCCCAACTCACTCAGCCTGGCTCTTTTGCATGTCAAGGCCGAGGAGGAACATGAAGACAACTTGGTTTTGAGAGATGCTTTGAAAGGATTCTCTTGACTGGCTTTGTGTGGGGGCGTGGTAGGTGGTGTCAGACCTGCACGGGGAGGAAGAGACACAGGTTGGGTGGGTGGGGAGAAATAAAATGAAAACAGAATCATAATGCAAACCTCCCCCCCCTCGCCTCCCTCTCCCCCTTCTCCCCTCACTCAACTATAAACTCCCAGGTCAGTTTATGGGCAGTCGACACAGATACATGCCTGATTAAAATATTCACTTTCACTTGGCCTAATCCTGATCTCTATTTTATTGCAATCTTGACAGATTAATGTAATGCTTGGTGTAACTTAATATGGCGGCGCTGTAATACGGATGACTTGCCATTCTCTTCCTCTCTGACCTTGAAAAGATCCCTTTTCATGAAAAAAAAAAAACATAACATAACCCCGTAGAGGACAAACGCAATGCATCTGATGGGAAAAAAATAAATGTATCACATCTCTGCCCGCCTCACACGAACGTCTGCACGGGACGACGGCCAATTCGTCGGAATAAGACCTTTTTTTTTTTTTTATATCGGCCCGAAAGAACGATCACGACGCCGTGCATGTTTCAAGACGGTCCAGCGCCATCTGTATTTTCTGCAGGAGGATACTGTACAACGTTAGAATGCCTGGCGATGCTGCTGTGGCGAGGTGTCATGGAAGCAAAGGAAATACTGGCGAACGGGTTGACATTCCTCTCAGATGGCATGTCCCAACTGCTTGTGCCCCCCCTATCCCCCTCCCCATCTCGCTCTTCCCTCGCCTCCTACAGATTTACAACCAGACAGATGGCAGTTATATGGGAAGTCCTGAGATGAGCCCACTTTATAGCATTGTTAATGCACTCACACAAACAGCCGCCGCCATTACTCTCATTCTCCCCTTTTCCTTCTCTTCTTCTTTTTTTTTTTTCCTCCTTTAGTTTAGTCTAGTATTCCACCCTTTTTCTCTCTCCTCCTGTCTGCCATCTTCCCCCGGATCAATCCCTCTTTCTCCCTCCTCTGTCTCTCCGCATCTCTTCCTCTTTCTGTCTCGCACAGAACAAATGTGCCCACACACACACACACACACAGGCACGCTCGTCACTAACAGTCTCTCACTGGAGTCAAACTCAGGCACTTTGAAACACCTACGCGCTCCCCTCTTCTTTGCCATTCTTATAATGCACATCATTCTTCCCTTGCCGGTGAATTACACCAAATGACAGTTATTAGTATCAAATCCAGTGTTGGAATATGCACCAGAAAGACAGGCTGACAAAGAGAGCGCGGGAGCCTGATACACAAATGTGCAAGTTTCTGAAATCACTTGCTGTGTTTGGGATGCCTGATCCAACGGCTTATCATCCTACTTATTATCTGGATGTGTCTGTAAGTAGGACTGCAAGCGCCCACTCCCCTCTTCTATCCCCCCCCTCCTTTTTCCTCTTCCTTCCCTTCAGTTGCGATAGTGAGACAGACATATATATGCATAACGCCAATTAAACGGGCTTTGAAAAGCAGAGAGGACAGGGTGAGAGAGAGGGAGTGGATGCAACGCCTAAAGAACTTCTGTTTCACCAATGAAGCGCCATCTGTCCAAAACAATGTGCGCATGGGGTCATAAACTGGGAGCCATTAGCAATGGGGGTGAAATAAATCAGAATTAGATAAATATGTGCCTCTCAGTCAAACTCGCTCGTGATGGATGATCGGCAGACGCTGTTCATGCAGAGAAAACGATGGAACGAGCGAGCGAGATGGAGAGAAAGAGGAGGGTCTTATCATCTTCCTTCTCGTCCAGCTGTAAATTGCGAGGAGACCTCGGAGCGAATAACAACTCCGGGCTTAAAGAGTTGATCCGGCAGTAAGCTATGCAAATAGCAACACAGAGACCACCTCTGTGTCATGAGATACAGTAATTAAAGACAACACAGCAGCGCAGGGTAAATCTATTAGCTTGGCAGAGATTAGGCCTGAACAGTTAGATCCCAGGGGACCTTCCTGCCTCTTGTAGCCTTTGCCGTACCTCCCTGAGAAGGGTCAAGAAAACATGCAACCAAACAGTGCAGCTATTATTTACTGCCGAACATCATCGTGTACACGTCCTGGCAATTAAATTCATTATCGTTTGGAACAGTAATTGCTACTACTACATCTCATCATAAAGGTGTAAAATACTATATTACTGGCAGCAATTCGTGGAAAATTCCATCCGTGCTCCGTCGACCTGCCTCGAAGGTGGAAGGTGGAACCGCCCACCTGGCTAACTTCCATCTGATTATCAGTAACACTGCCATTATCTCTATTGTAGTGGCATGTTACTCTAAATCTGCAAAGGACACGTAACTCCAACCTAAAAGCTTACACCTCCGCTTACCGGGATCTATATCCGTCTGTCTCATAGAGCACGAGACTCAAAAGCTAATCTCTCAGTAGGAAAGGGGCTCAGTAACCCAGAGCTCTCTGGCCTAATGACATTCCTGCTAATATTCAATCCCAAATTTGCACATGATGGTGAAGTCAGGTGAAGGGCTTTATTTGACTCTGCTTGTGAAATGGATGCGGTGGAACAGAACGGACACCCAGATTCGGCCACAGGTCAATAGACTCGCCCACGTGCAGTAAAACGGGAAGAAATATTAACTGTGCTTGATTGCCCCTGAGCTTAAGGAGCCCTGCTCTTTCCCTTCTTTAGGTCTCCACAGGCCTTCCCTCTGACCCTGAAAGCTTATCTACACAAAAGGGTTAAACCGCAATTCAACCAAAGTCAGAGAGGACAGAGGGATACCTCTCGGGGCTTGAATTTCTATCGCCCACAAGAGCTAAGCAGAAGGTGCGGGGGGCAGACGTTAGGTATGGACAAAGATCATTTCCCCTGCTGGTAAATGAATACCCAAATGGGCCAGAGCAACATCACGCAGTGTGAGCGGCTAAAGGGCAGCCATTTTGTTTTTATTGACCTTAGATGATTAATCTCAAGTAAATGTGGGGTAATTACCAACATAATTTGCACAGAGAGAGAAAGGAAGAGACGACCCTCATTACTGCAGCTTCTGCCTGCAAAGAGCTTCTTTCTCATGCAGTTAATCATAACAAAATAACATTACGGGATGATGTCAATAAAGATGCAGAGAAATCTCCCCGGTAGCAACATTTATGAACCAGCATCCTTTGCATACAACATTGGAATTTACTCCCAAGTCAGCTGGTCTAATAGCCTGCATGTATGGCCATTTTCAGTCGGGAAGATCTGGCAAAACCGAATTACGCAGCCAATTAAAACAATACCGCTGCCATTTCAATTTCCCTGCGATGTGTCGGCTAAGTAAGCTGTCAGTCAGAGCGCATTAGGATCTGATAGAGGAAAGGCATATTAACTCTTCGGTAACAAAGCAGGGGGAGTGGTGGAGGGTAGGAGGGGCTCGCTAATAAACCCTGAAGAGATTGGAAAGCCTAATCAATACTCAGGCACATAAAAGCGATCTCCGATGCCTTCACCTTGAACTCTGAACTGTGATGGAACTATCAAGATGCCGCCGTTAACCCATTACTCGCTACAACAGGCTGGTGAGAATTAGCGGCGAGGGTTTGTGGTATTAATACAAATAAAAGTGCGCTCACCTGGGGTTCCAGCAATCTCCACACTTAATGTCCGTTCAATGGTTTTGTTCTCAAACGGTGATCCCTTGTGGTCACTGGAAGACAAAAGAAAAAAAAAAAAAGCACAAAATTTAACTCCACAGGTGAAGGTGGGAGTTTTTTTTAAGCTTTTGTGATCTAAGAAATGGAAATGAGTCACAAAAATGCCTCAACTTGGTTTCTAGTCTGTATAGTTTTCTCTGGCTTTGTCTTTTTTCTCTAGTTTGATGCTCGCTTTTCTTTTTTTTTTCTGCCTAGAATAATGTGGAAAAACTTCTCGCACTTACTTTGGAGACTCTGGGGTCAAAGGAAGTGGCAAGGTGGTTGGTTTGGCTGCAGAACACAAAGGAGCATGGGTAATTATTGATCTAGGTATAACACTCATGGCAGAAGAGAACAGGTCCACATTCTGCAACAATTAATCTAAAATTGGCTCAACAAATGCAATTATTACTACAAAAACACCCATCCCTGGTTAGAAAGTCTTACTATGGACACTATCGTACAAAAGCATAATGTTTTTTTTTTTTTTAGATTGACCCCATTTTAACAATTTACTCTCTTAGGATAGACTGTTCACTCTGTGAGGCAGGATGGAGTGATGGTGTTTCACAGGTGTCTAGACACAGACAGACCGCGCTCAAGACAACAAACAGATCGAAATGGAATAAAAACATACAGAGACGATGCCACAAACAAGACACATGACAGTGGGTGAGCCCCTCCCTAGACAATAAAGTCATAATCGCATGCACCAACAGCAGAGGAGGGGGAAAAAAAAGAAGGAAGAAAGGAGAGTCAAGGAAGCTTGTGCAGTTGCCCGAGGCTCTGGCCGACTTGTGCTCCAGCTAAGAGAACGTGGCTTTAGTAGCACGACGCTAAAGAGCAGCACCCGGGCTCTGAGTCTAAATGTACAGATTCAGCACACTCAGCTCAATCAGCCAAAGATGGTTCAAGGGTTGACTTTGTGAATACAGGATGTACAGTAGCAAGACAAGGCTCGCCCCTTTTCCCACCCCCTCCTTTTTTTTTTTTTTTTTTTTTTTTTCCAAAAAAATACAATTCACTCTCTTTTAAATTTTCAAAGAATGCCTCTGGGACTAGCAAAAAGCATTGGCGAGCAGGCTGTTTGCTGTCATTGTTGTTTATGCCCTCAGAATGACTGTTAGATTCAAATTAGAATAGGGGTTAGTTGTGAAATCAAACTGGGAAGTGGTTAGAGCAGGAGAGGGAGAAGAGAGAGCAGAGATAAGGCCAGTGGGGGGGATGCAGTCATGATTACCTAACAACGGGAGGCCCTGGTCATCGGGGTGCTCGCTGAGTGCCTGCCTGTGTGGGTGCCCTTGCCCTTGTATGATGCAGGGAGGGGTGGGCTCTGCATTGCTAGTGTCTGGGATGAGTGGGCTTGGAGGGCCCTGTGAGAGCACCGCTGCGGGGCTGCCCATGACACGGTCATCATCATCGTCAACAACACCATCATCATCATCATGGTCAACATCCTCCCCATAGCCCCCCTGGTTTGGCCACCCCAGCTCTAGTCCAAAGCCCATGTCTAGCTCTGAGTCTAGCTGGCTAACCCAGCTCTCTAGGTCTAAGGCGAGAGGTGACAACAGGGGCTCTGAGTCGGGCTCTTCAGCCGGACTTACTCCCTGGTTTGTGTGTTCAGTGGTCCCTCTGAGCTCCTCCTCTTTCACCTGAGAAACAGCCTGGGCTGGGCTCTCAGACCTCTTACCTGAGGATCTGCTCTTAGTACTACGTGAAGGGGTAATCTTTGGTGGGAGTATCTGGGCCCGGTATTGAGCGGGCCTCTGCTTGGAGGTGAGCAGCTGGCTGAGTAAAGGGTGCCCCGGCTTCTCATCTCTTTTCTTTATAGTCACTGTGATGTGCCTATGCGGCGCTCGGCTGGCACCACTACTGTTACTACGGCCTTGCCTGCCAAAGCCCTCACTAGCCTGAGTGGCGCCCGCAGCCTCTCGGCAATGCTCACAGCTGTGACTCACCTCTCGGGGAGGGAGGGAATAAGAATGCATATACCTAATAAACCTAGCGGCGGCCAGGCGGCCCACATCGCCTGGCGGCCTTCCTTCTTCACTGGGCGGCCCGTGCTCCAGTTTGGGGCGGGCATGACCGCAGGTGGAGGTTCTGTGGCCAACAGGGATAGAAGCACCCTCCGACTCCTCAACCCCGTCATCGTGAGTGCAACGCTGCCACTTCCCAGCCCCAACACCAGCCATACTACACTCGCCAGCAGCCCGGCTCTCACCTCGCTGGTGATGCTGCTGCGGCGGCTGCTGCTGCTGCTGTTGTTGTTGTTGTTGTTGTTGTTGTTGTTGAGATGGCACAGCTGACTTCTTCTTGGAGGTGGTTGAGGAAGAGGAAGAGGAGTTGGAGGAGAGGGAGGAGAACGAGGAGGTGGATGACGAGGACGGTGAAGAGGAGGAGGAGGAGGCGCCGAGACCGAGGCCACTCTTGTCCCTGCTACTGGCACCCCCCCAGGCGCTCTTGGCTTCACTGGCTTTGGTGTGGAGCAGGATGTCATCGGTGGCTGTTAGGTATTTCAGCAGCTCAGTGCAAGGCCGCCTCACCGGGCGGTTCTGTTGGCTGGAGCCCCCTCTTGCTTTGCCATTCCAGGGGCTCTCCGTCTGTTCAAAACAATAAGACAGAGACAGAATCACTTAGTTTGCCGGAATAAAAAAGTTTGCCTCTGCTCACTGTTGTTAGTACAGTGCAGCTGATCCAATTGTGAGAAATGTTAAGTACTCTATTTGGCACAAAAATAAAAGTCGAAAGAGATGGAGCCAGAGAGAGGCTAAAAGAATGACTCAAACAGCCTGAGCACAGTAGTTGCCCAACTGTCTGGGAGGCGATGGTGGGAGTGCCGTCCGCCCATCATCTTAATTGCGTGGCCCCCCGAGCGCCACCGTGCCACTCTGTACGCACACCATGTCCTCCGGGAGTCCTCATTCGCTCTGCTCCAGAAATGGATGACTCAAAGGCACAGTATGAAAATAGACTCTGTGAAGAAGGTTGATGCACTGCATGTGCAAACATAGTACGCCGAGCACACACAAATCTGTCTGTGTTGTGTTTACCGCACATTATGATCTGATACAGACGCTTTTTGCATTTAAGCGCAGGGTGCTGTGTAACAAATATACTGCCGAGTGGAATATGACACTGAACATACAGTTTTCTGACATAAAATGCAAACAGATATCACATATTTTAATATTCACATTCACAAAGCTATGATACTTACACGGGCTGAAATTAAATCCTAATCAACCCCACCCCTATAGAAAAAAAAACTCTTCTCAGAGCCTTCTAATGAGAACATCAAGTCTGATATTTTGATGTTGTCGTCTCAAGGCATCAATCTCGCCGCAAGAGCGCCTGTCGCTCTTTTTTTTTTTCCTTTTTTTTTTTTATTCAACAGGCACCATACCAAGGCGGATAAGTGGTGGAGCTAATGAGACAACGGTGCCGATGCCTCGCCTGGAAAGCCCAACAGCAATCAGCCTGTTTTCATTACGAGATGGCCCCCTGGGATAGTAGACTGCTAGAGCAGTAGTCTAACATCTTCTAAAGGCGGCCACCAAAACAAGAAAAATGTGAGGAGGGAGGGAGGGAGAGCGAGAAACAAGACAGAGCAAGAACAGAGTGAGGGAGATAAACAAACACTAACAAAAAAAAATGTGTGTGCACGAGTGAAATAAGCAGCAAGGCAGTGCATGTATTTGTGTGTGTGTGTGTGTGTGTGTGTGTGTGTGTGTGTCCCTACCTTGACGACGGCAGGTGGTGGTCTGATCCGGTGGTTGCTGCTGGCTGCATGGTTCTGTGCCTTGCCACCTGTGTATTGATTATAGCTGAGCTGGGAGTTTGCAGGTGCCAGAAGGAGCTTCTTCAGCTGCGAATGGACCCAAACAGAACCAGAGATGTCGGAGGAGGAGGGAGGAAAACGAGCAGAATGTGTTTTATGGATGTACAATCAGAAGATACAGCAGTTAAAAAAGAGAAAATCCCTGACATATTCAAAAGATCAGACTTTTTTTTTTAGCAGTTCATAGCATGTGACATGGCAGGTTTTTTTTTTCTACCTTTGCAGGTGTTTTTGTGTACACACAACCAGGCTTCTTGAATGTGATTGAATAAACACACTCGGGCCTTTGGCTAAAGGTCACTTGGAAGGAACCGGCATGGAATAAAATGGACTATAACGTAGCATAACATAACATTTTAGGTCAAAGCCTTTAAGCGAGAAAAACACCCAGATTGTAAAAATAACAGCGCGACGGTAAGCTGACTTCTCATCGAGAGGTCTGTTTTTCAGGGGGGTTTTTTTGCCAAAAAAAAGACGACTCCGGCAGTGGGGGGATTAGTCGAGACCCACTGAGAGGAGACGAGGTGAGGTGGATTTCTGTTTTCCCTTACTTTCATGATGTGCCGGCTCGATTTCAGGGTCGGTGGCAGAGTGACAACCAGCATTTGGGCCCCACCGCAGTGTTCATATCGTTGAACTGCCGCCATAATTGCTCCGTTATGTAATTAGAACAGAGTGGCGATTTCCCATTGACTTCCTGAATGCAGTGAACTCATTGTGGCGTTGGGAAGTCTTAACAAATGACTTGTTGAAGAGTCTTATCTGGCATGGACTGGCCGGCTGGAGGTCATGTCTGGGGGATAATACACATTTTGACCCTAGCGGTGGAAGAAAGAGCTGTTGATCTTACCAAGGAAGGCTCCTCAGGCTCTGGGGTGCGTGGTGAGCCGTCAGGAGAGGAGGGACAGCTCTGGTCACTGGCATTGGTCACGTCCCCATCTGCCAGGGCCTCAAACGAAGGCAATCCGTCCTCATCCACTGGGATGCTGTCCAGGGTCTCTGTAAGCACTGCCAGCAAGTTGGCCTCATTTTCTTCATCTATCTTCTTAGGAGGGGGAAAAAGGGTGGTGGGGGGGAAGACAGAGACAAAAAATAGAGAGACAGGAAAAATAGGACATTTTAGTCAGGAGAAGTTGCATCTCTTTTTTTTTTTTTACTTTCAGGGAAGTAAAGGTGGTGGGTGGCTGCATGCAGGCTTTCATAGTTAATATAGTGGGAATATTTTTTTTCACTTTTTTTTCTGCAGCAGAGCTCACTCTATTCTGGCAGCCTTTTAAAAAACAAAATTCTCCTCATGTGCATGTGAGTCAAGCCTGTCACTCATATTTTAAGCACGCAGCTTACTGGACCAAAATAATATCTCCCCCAAGAAACCCATTACCAGGGCTGACAAGTAGCAAGTATCCAGGGAGGATGGGAATGGGTTGGGGAGGGTACGGAGGGGTTTGTGTGTGTGTGTGGGGGGGAAACAATGGGCAGAAGTTGACTCTCCTCTCTCCTCACCCGCAGAATCGAGAGACGATTGGATTGCTGACAAGATGTTTGCAAGCAATCCTCAGATAAGGAGAATTACGAGCCACTAATGCTAAATAAACGCGATGTATTTAAAATGTTGGCATGACAGCTGATGTTCGCAACGGGGCGGGAAGTTACCATCAACATTTCATGAGAAATAAAGCTTGTTCTTGCCACTCAGCTCCTCTTTGATGTACCAGAGGAGTTGTGTGCTTGCTGCAGCTGGCTGTTTAATGGTGGAAATTATAACTGTGTGCGAGAAATAAAGAGATGAATATATGGAGAGGGATGGAGAAGGCGAGGGGGAGAGACGCGAGCTGCCAGCTACCAATATGGGAGGTTTCCTGGGGGTAGTAGCATGTATGCAGGATGGAAAAAAAACAGACAGATATTAAAAGAGAGAGGATGCAACTCGTGCACGACTCTGCCTTTTTGCATTGACACACGACAACGGGAACCGCGAGCCCAGGGGACTTTAAGACAGCGGAAAGATAAACAGTATCGTCACCCTGGGACGTTCTGTGGCCAGCCCAACAAGAACAAATCCCTTTATGCACACGGCAGGATTATCATCGCTCGGTGACGGCGTGTGGCCATCATTACGCCGGGGGGGCCAGCAACCTCTCAGATGCCAGCGCTGTACCTCAGAGGGCTCAGAAATCCCACATGCGCACCCTCTTGTTTCTCTCTACCCCACTGATTTTACACAATTACACACCCACCGTGGACGGCGACGCTTCGGAGTCACCAACCAGACGGCGGCAATTTTAATGCATTCCCCCCTTCCAATTTTCATTTAGAGATGACACAGATATCTTGGACGTTCAGTTAGCTGGCTAACAGTGAGGAAAACGTTAATCTGATGCTCATTGAGTAGATTTTCTCCTAACAACATGAACACTCAGTCATTATTAAAAAATGATAAAGGGGACATATTTCACAGAGATAACACTACGTAGACTGGGGCCACGCCGCACTGCCAGGCAAATGCCTTGCAGGAAATTGCTCTGTATGAGGTGGCATGCTGTTTAATTACTTGCAAGGAGCTTCAAAATCCACTGTGCTGGAACCCTGTGCTATTGAAACGCTCACCATTTTCCAGCACCCACAAGTTATTACCTGAGCACTAAGCGGGTGGGTATTAACTGGAGCTGCAGCCATGGCTTAGCCCAAACATACATCCTGCATGTGAAATTGAAATTTAGGATCATTTCAGATCATCACAAATGAGCCTTTAATGAGCCAGCCATCTGTTTAGGTCCATACTCATCAACTATCCAATCAATGCTGCATTTAGGCGAGGCTTTATTCACCTCTCTTCTCTTTAAACCGATAAATCTATACTCTAAAAATTGCAGTCTATGCCGCCGAGTGACGCTGGTTACATTAAAAGTTGAGAGAGCTGTGCAAGCTTCGTTATGTCATGGTTTGGAAAAGGATTGGGGAATTTCTGAGGCTGCAGCAGGCTCAAATGTAGTGATTTCAATCCTGTTTCAAAAACCTCCACCAATTGGCAAGCTCCCACAGGCGCACTGTATCCCCAAAGATAACCCAGAAGGGACTCTCATACTCTGAAAGAGACACTTGTAAAACCCTGAGTCGTGACGATCATGCAGCAGCCGCTGCTGTGGCTGTAGTGGAGGCACTCATAGGCCAAGTGGGGATTTGAGAAACGGTGGTAAAGAGCAAACCTCGGTGATTGTTTCTGCCCTGGAGAGAGAATGATCTAATACCCCCCGTCCAGGAGGGCAAGCTTCTCCATGCCAGCTTAAGGACCACACCTTCCAGAGTTTCTGCACCAAAGTCAATCTAGCACCGATAACTCACTTGCTACTTGTATATTTATAAACAAAATCTCTATGTGGGTGGACTTGAAGAGCTATGGCACCCAAAGGGGATGCCACCCGGATAACCTGGCAAACTGCTGACGGCCATGTCCACTTATATTGATTACTACAGCAGCTGCTGAGAGGAAAAGAGGACAGGAAGAACAAAGAGAGAGGAGAAAAATTGTCTCGGCGGGAGCACTTTCTCGCCCATCCCGCTTAATGGACCTCACCGAATTAAAGAGATCTTAACAATCCTGGGCTAATTGTGGGATCACAATATATTAACCCCGCTCCAATTCTAAAGGGTGCCATTTTGCGGCAGTTTTATTCCAAATGCTTCAATTAGCCATAAAACATGCTGGCAAGTGCTGGCAGAGCTTCTCTCCCCTCCTCCTTCACCCCAGCTTCCCCACATCGGAGAAAAGAAAGCCAACTCCAGTTGTTCATTATTAGGTGAGGCCCTTTTGTTATCAGGCAGGCTGTCTTTGAGATTGTCCTTGCCTTTAACTCTTTTATTGAGTTCTACAGCACAGCATTGTGTTCCAGGAGATACTATTCACACGGCTGATAACGGAAGGTGAAGGTGCTGTTTTAAACAAACACTCACTTCTGAACACCGGGGCAAATAGCCAAATTAAATCTGCTAATTGCTTCTTGAGGATTCCAGGCTCCCGAGCAAATTTGCCAGAGATCAAATTTTAACGAGCTTTTTTCGGGGCAATGCATCATTTACATGTTAAAAGGAACCAAATGTGTTTTGAAAGTGCCAGAATGTACCTGATCGCTGAGTAACTCCAAAATAAAGTTTGAACCGAATAAACAGCCCCACTGTTATCTTTGGTTGAGAGGCAGCGCATGTGACAGACGCGCTGGATGTGGGAAGATAAAACATCTTCCATTAAATGGGTCATCTAGTATTTAAAGTGCTGTTTATTCACACTGCCTGCTTTTTTTATTTTCCGCTCATTCTTTCTGCAAATAGACGAATAGAAACCAGTTAGTGCGAGCAGAAAACACTTAATAAATTGGCCCCAAATTTGTGTGGAGGGGTTAAGTCTGCATCTTGACAATTTAATTGCTTTGCTTCATCTCAATCTTTATTTCTCCCCCCCCCCACCCTCGGCTCCCTGCTCTGTCAGATTTCTAAAGCATTCCCTCGGATGAGGTTAAGCGACCAGCCAGACCTTCTAATCATGGCACAATCAGAAATTGTGGGGGGTATATATGTGTGTGTGTGTGTGCAGCAAGTGGGGAGGTTGGTATCAAGTCATCACATCTCGACTCTGCCAAGAAAAGCAGCCTTGGATTTGATAAACAAATAATGTCATTCTGTGTTATTACCCCCGGCCCCCAGATTTCAGAGGAAATAAATCAAAGTCAGCCTTGCCGTTAAGGCGTTAGTCAGGCCTGACACGTCGGCCGGTCACACAGGCACAACATATGGCAGCGGGGAAGGAGGGAGGTAAGGGAGGCATGGAGGGTGAGGTACGGCGCGATGCACGGCGGAGAGACAAATCATGGCAGCCGCCAGAGACGTCTGGTCATTTAGCATGAGCTTACTGAGATGGAGAGAGGGTGATTATGGCCTATACGGGGCGATGAAACCATACATAACACTGTTAAGTTCCTCTGTGTGTCTGTGTCTGCGAGGCAGCCGTGGCACAGCCTGATGGTGTTCCAAATCATAAAACTAAATGTTAAACCTCCATTGTGGTCAGGGCTGTGAATGGCTCGCGACATGTAGCAGTAAACTGAAGGCTCTTGTCATTTTCCATGTGACTACAGAGTCAATAGAGCATCTCGTTATTCTGAAACAATTTCCCAAGCAAATGATCCCGTGGACTAGATATCGTGCATGTTCTGGACGCAGAAATCTCAGCCCCGGTGGCCATTAGCGTATTTCCTGGACTCCCTCTCTCATCAGTTATCGCAGCTCGAGACTCGACAAACGTCACTATCTTCCGCTTTATAATAATGATTCGAACTGCAAGCTGCTAAATCTTTCACTCCGCAGCTGATTTTTCGGTTTCGTCATCCGTCTTATCTATTATAAAACAACTGGTCTGGATAATCACTTCATCAGGCACGAATTCACCGCTTTGTATCTCCATTTAAACAAAACAGAAAAAAATAGCAGCAGCTCTCCGAATGAAGAAGGAGTTGACTGTTTAGATGCCAGATGCCTGTTTCGGTTTCGAAGCCTGTGCGAGTTATAAATCAGAGAGGAAACGGTCGGGCCCCATCAATGAGGACCAGGATGTGTGAGTGTGTGTGTGTGTGCAGAGATGATGCATCTCCTGGGAGCCATTTGAGACTGTTACAGCACTATCAGATGAGTTGATGGGGGAAAGAGAAAGGAAAAGAGAAAGTGAAAAGAGGAGATATCTGTGTGTGTGTGTGTGTGTGTGTGTGTGTGACAGAGAGAGAGAGAGAGAGAGCGAGCCAAAGAGAACTGTTGTTACACTTCCTGACACAGGCCAGATCCGATTGAGACACCGACCCAAGGGATGTTAGCAGCGCTGTTCTTTCTAGTTCCAGTAGAGAGAGAGAGAAAAAAAAAATCCTTTGACCGGTAACCTTGCAGCTGCTCAAACTAACCACCTGAACTCTGTATCCGCTGAGTTCTGCTGCCTTTGAGCCCCTTTCCGGGGTCAGAAATCACACAAAAGCGCTCGCAACCTGAAAAGATCGCATCCGTCTG